GGGTCCTCACCAGCCATGCCCTTGGCAAGACTCTGCCTCAGCCTCATTCTGGAGAGGTCCCTGCAGCCCAGTCCCCCAGCCCTGGTTCACCTAAGAAAATCATCACTGGAATTCCTGGGGAAGCTTTTAACAGAAGTGCCCAGGCCCCTCCCCACAGATGGCAATGGCCATTCAGGTTTTTGGTTGGGGGAGGAGGTAGAATTACCAGCACAATGCACCGAGAGAGATACAGACATAAAGAATATCTCAAGTTCAACAGTAATGTCATTGACTGTTTCATGACTTCCTAATAGATAAGAGCAGAAAAGTGTAGTTCAGATAAGACAGTAAGGTGGGTTCAAGCATAACCCATGCTTACTGGAGGTTTGTCCCACACTGAAAGAGAGTCTGTAGCGAGGTGCCCCAAGGCTCGCTCTCCTGAGCAGATCAAGCACAGGAAGTAAGTGTAATGAGTGATTGAATCAGGACTCCAAGGGGTCACTGTAAGAGAAAATTAATGGCAAAACACGCAAAGTTTGGTACTTGGGTTAAGAAAAGGTCAACTGTGTCTAGTTCCAGGGTGGGAGAGACCTGGCTTGGAAAGTGAACACAAAGGGCATGGCAGGGAGCACAGCCACTCAGCAGGTCACCACGTGGCACGGGGACAAGGACAAGGCCCATTCTCTCTGCCCCGTGAGCTGTCATTGGGAGTTTGGGGACCTACCCCAGGCCAGGCACCGTGACAGCCTCAAGTGAGCCCAGCAGATGAGGTGGCCTCGGCTGTCCTCAAACCAATGATGGCAGGTGTTGGGAACATTCCATGTGAAGAAAGGGAGGGCGCCTGGGTGGCTCAGTCAGTTAAGCATCTGCCTTCGGCTCAGGTCATGATCTCAGGGTCCTGGGATAGAGCCCTGCATTGGGCTCCTTGCCCAGAAGGGTGTCTACTCCTCTCGCTTTCTCCCCCTCTACCCCTCCCCCTACTTGTGCGCTTTCTCTTTCTCTCATTCTCTCTCAGATAAATAAAATCTTTAAAAAAAAAAAAAAAAAAAAGGAAAGGAAAGGAAAAGGAAAATGAGAGGGAGCCTCAAGGAGGAAAGGAACCGCCTTCCAAATTCTGAAGGACTGTCATGAGTCTGTCAGAGATGACCTCCCCTGCAGGTTCTGGGGAACTCTGTTATCAGGCCCCTGCCTCCCTCTCTATCCCCATCTTTGAGCACCTGCCCACCCCTGGGGATCCTTAAGCTCCCAAATTCCCCTCACACACCTTCCCCAAACAGCCCCAGGGGCCCTCTGCAGGCTGTCCCCTCTCCTTTAGACACTCTGTCCTCATCCTCTGCCCGTTCAGCTCTTACTCCCCGCCTGGGCCTCTCTTCTTCAGGGGGCATCCACCACCCCCCTGTGTAAATCAGGTCCCCGTTCCACAACATCATGGTCCTCTACACTTCCTTGCAATAGCACTGATCCCAATTTAGAATTTACTTAGCATCAAATTCTCTGTTTTACATCTGTTTTCTAAACCATGAGATCATAACGGCATCTGTCTTGTTCAACCCAAGGCCCGGCATGTAGTAGGTGCTCAATAAATACTGATTTTGTAAACAAACGAGTGAATGTTCCCAGCAGATGGGAACTACAGGAAGACAAATTTGGCTCAGCGAAAGAAAGAATTTTCTAGCACATCGGGCTGTCCCCATTTGGTATCGGCTGCTAGGTGAGTTCCCCACAGCGACAGCATGCAAGCAGGGGCTGACGATGTGGAGGTGAAGGCTCTGACCTCGAAGGAACCTTCCAGCGTGGAGACTGTCTCCTCCACAGCTTGAAAAAGGAGCCAGTAATTTGGGGAAGGGGAGGAGCAGGAAGGAAGAAAACGTCCTTGGGATGTCAGGCCCGTTACTCAGGAAACCTAACATTTATAGCACCAAGTGGGGCTGGGACTGGGGAGCTGGGCTGTGGAGCCTCGGGTTGTGGCTTCCCATCCTGCCCTCCGCACCCACACCATCCCTAGGCACAAAGGACAAGGACGACCTTGAGAATAAGACAGGTCTGGGTCACCCAAATGTGTTCATGACTCTAGTAAAAAAGTCTCCACTGAACCTCCCCCCAACCAGGACCAGCTACATAATTTGTGGGACCCAGTGCTAAATGTAAATGCAGGGCCCCCCTTCAAAACCTAGAAAGAATTTCAAAATGGTGACATAGCAGAGCATTAAACCCGGCACGCCCCCCCCCGTGACTGCGCATGCGTGCATCCCTTGCTCTCCCCGCCCCCACCCCTGCCACCGACCCCACACCTGCCCAGCCAGATGCTGGCCTATGGACCCCACCCAAGGACCAAGAGAAGATACCAGGGACCTCACCAGTCCTCACTCTGCTCAGCTTGGATTTTCAGTGTCTTAATTGAGCAGAGGGGGGAACTCAGTAAGCAACAGAGACTCTTCAAGTCAAAAGGGCAAGGTGGGGGTGCTCGTAGGAGGCACTGAGTGGAACCGGCAAAGCAAATGCCTTCCCCCAAGCAGGAGTCAAGAACAATTATCCTAAAACCTGGAAGTAAGGCACAGGGAGGGCAGTATTTCTCACCGTGTCATTTAGGAGCATTACTTAACAGACCCAGCTAAAGATTATTTCACTATCTGGGGGAATATCCCTTGGTTCATTCACTACTGACTGTTAATTAAAGGTCTGGCTGCTGTGGAATCACATTAACCCGCAGTTTTGTAAGTGATTTCTGCACAACAGAAAAGATAACCCAAGTTATCATTTTATGACCCTATAGGTCGTTAACCAGTTTTGATTCCAACCTAACTCTCTCATCCCCACATTTTCTCTCCAATGCCTGTTTTCCTAATTCTGCCGACTACCAACTTGCCGGTTCCTCATTAAGACAGGGGCTAAATCACGTGCCTTTTAAGATTTGTGTGCAGGTCATTTTTTTTTTTTTTAACTCTTTGGAGATTATACTTTGACTTCAAGGTCAGGAAAGGACTGTTAAGAAGCCTACTTCGTATCCATAAGATGAGAGTCGAATGAATATCACACCCATAAAACAAGAATGGGTCTGAGAAACCCAGGAACAAGAAATGATCTTGGGAATTAACAAGACACAGGGGAGACAAATGATTCCAGGAGGGGCAGTAACTAGAGGAAAGGACATCGTTGGTGACTCAGAAGACAAGTCAACAAATTCTCCTCTAGTACAGATGAAACCTTTGAGGGAAAAGAGGGTAAATGCAGAGAACAGATACAGGAGGGAAATACCCACTTCATGGGACTGCCAGCAGGCAGCAGAGAAGAATGGACAAAACCCAAAAAGCCAATAAAAGAAATATATATATTTTTTTGATGTGAAGGGAAATACCAGTTCTAAAAGGCTCCATGGGGAGCAGTTCTATGCCTAAACTTGCCCTAGTGAACTGTCTGAATTCTGAAGGTGAGGAGCAAACCCTACAAGGATCTGGCAGGGAAGCAGCCAGGAAGAGGAGTCAGACCTGTCCTGGACTCACCCACAATTCGAGCTTGTGGATTTCAATGGGACCACATGCAGGGCTCTGAGGAGAGAAATTATGATTCCAGAGTGAAGCAGACAAAAACTGTCCTTCACACAAGAAGATCAAAGGGATGTAGGTTTGGAGAGACAACTCTGAAAAATTACACTATCCAAACACCTTGTCCTTAAAACAACAACAAATGACTTAAGGATGGCCTCCAGCCAAAGCAAAATGAGAAGGAGAATGAAAGACTTGACCACAGGAGGGGCACAGTTCACAAGAAACCGTATGAACCCAGCACAGCTTCCAGCAAGGTCCAAGTAATTGACAGGGTGGCGGTGAAGTTGAACTCTGTTCTCAGGAAAGCCTGCTGAGCAGAGGTGTAATGTTTTTTTTTTTAAACACTGGTGGACAAATCATTTCATTTCAGGACATCCCTGTGGATTTCAGCATACACTTAGTGCTACTGATTTCCCATCTCAGCTGGGTGCCTGTCCTCCCTCTTTGCCCTGTCCCAGGGGCACCTCGCACGCAAGCACGCACACACGCAACACACACTGACACACATACGTGAGTACTCGTACTGTCACAGACACCCACACGTGCACACTTGCGTGCACACCCGCAGGCCTCCAGCCTTTCCCTCTCCCCGTCTGTCTCTTGCCCCTCTCAGTTCTGCCCTGTTGACCCATTACCGGGCATGATGAACACCTGCTTGTCCTCCCCCTCTTGTGTGTCACCTCCTCAGGAAAGTCCTCAAGCCCCCAAGCCACCATGTTGTCTCAGAGATGCTCTCAGAAAACCACAGAGCTTCTCCCAGAGCTCTTGTCTCTGTGTGTGTGGCACGTTCGCCTCCATAGCTGGTGGATGTCTCTCCCTGCACAGTAGCTGGGAAGGACAAGGCCTGTTCTGTGTTTGCTGTTCTTCCTACCCCACGCCTAGGACAGTGCTTCGAAGGAGCTCATTCGACCCTTGGCTGTTAGATGAATGCAGGAGTAGCCACCAGCCCAATCTGACCCAGGAAAGCAGGAACAAGATACAAAGCAGGGTCCAAGAGGCTCCAAATGGGCTAACCTGCAACCTGGCTTCTCTCTGACTGTAGTTTGTGTCTTGACAGAAATAACCACAGTTTGGAGTCACACAGTGCCTGAGTTGGGGCTGTCTCTGACCCGCTGAGCGATTTAGGGTAATAGTTAACATTGATTGGGTGCTCATTTTGATAGAGCCATACTTATCCCCATTTTACAGATGAGGAAACTGAGGCTCAGGTTAAGTTTCTTTCTCAAGGTCCTACAGTTAGTGTGAAACAGACCCAGTATCAGCAGACAGTGCAGGAGAACACATGTCTTACCAGAGAGGGGAGGAAGGTCTGTCTGTCTAGGCCATTCAGCAAAGGGCCATCATTCCTCCCACCCCAGGAGTCCAGGAAGGCCCTACCCAATGCAGCCTCCTCATAAACACCAAGAAGCCCCACAGATTAATTACATTATGTCTGGTGTGCACCAGACGCTAAGACCTGTGATATATACTACCTACCCTGCCATGACAATGAAGAAATCCAGTCGATTCCATGTGTCCCCAAGGTAGCACTTCTTGCCAAAAATGCCCAGGGCCACCATCTTGAGCACCATCTCCATGGCAAAGAAGACGAAGATGAAGTCATCAAAGACCTGCAGGGACGGGAGGAAGGCAAGAAGCAAGGGACAGTATGAGGCTCTGGAGCAGAACCACAGGGTTGGAGCCACAGTGTGGGGGGGGGACAAAGGCATGGACATGAAGGGCCTGGAAAAGACCTGGAGACATCCCCTCTTGGGCAGGAAGAGAACCTCAGAGATCCTGGTCCAGTGGAGTCATTTCACAAATGAAGAGACAGGGGAAGGAAGAGGCCTAAGGTCATACAGCCCATTCTTTTGTTCCTGAAAGTCAGGCCTACTGACAAGGGCCCCCGATAGGGGCAGGGCAAAGGGCTCTCCCTGATAACAGTGGCCAAGCACTGGGCTAGATATCTGACCTGCATTCTCTTTCCTAATTCCCACAGCAACCCCATGGATAGCCCCATTTTAGGGGCAGAAACAGACTCAGAGAGGTCAAGCAACTTGCCCCAGAACATAAGAACATATTGCAGAACACGAGTGGCAGAATCAGAACTGACATTCAGGTCTGTCTGATTCCAAAGCCCACGTGGAAGGAGGTTTCTCAAAACAGACCTGATGCCCCTGTGGGCAGGTTTCAGGCTGCCTTCCTCTGTTTAGAAAGAAGACCCCAAATGCGTCCCTAAGTATGGGCTCAAGGGAGTAGGTATTTCCTGAGCACAGGGCCTGGGTAGAATTCCTCTTTCCAGATCATTGAGGGCTGTGGTCAATTCAACAAATGGGCCCACTGTGTGCCGGGAGGGAGGCTGGGTGTCACTGACATAGACAGGAGTCCCTGATGAATTCACCAGCTGGTTGGGAAGCCAGCCTGGTACCCAATGACGCTAATCGGTTCTAACTCCCCTCAGGGGCCTGGGGCTGGATGAGGAGCTTGTCATCCTCTCAGACCCAGGAACTACCACCCCAGAGATTCTGATTCTGCAGATTTGAGATGGGCCAGGTCTGCATCTTTAACAAGTGCCCCGGGGGGTGATTCTGAGACCCTGGGCTGCTTGAAGGCAGCTCAGAACTCCTGAGTCCCATGGAAACACAAGACGCAGAAGGCAACTCCTCCCAGGAGGAATCTGGCTTTTCCAGGGACAGGACATGGGATGAGGATGTTTATACACATCTGTAAAATGGGTATAACCCTAACACCTTGCACTATGGGTAGACAAGCGCTGCATGGGGTCATGGTAGGTACCCAGGTTTAGGACCCCACCTGGACCCGGGAGTTGAGAACAGGAGAGATACAGGAGGCTGGCTCCTGACAGGAACTGACAGCAAATTGCAGAGTTTAGCCTTCATTCCAAGAGCACCAGGAGCTAAGGACAGGCTTTGAGCAGAGGAGTGTCAGGGTCACTGGCACTCTGGTGGCATGGGACAGTATGGTTAGTCTGGGATTGGGGAGACCAGGAGAAGGCTTGGGGAGGCATCTAGGTTGGGAAGATAGGGCCCTAGCCTAGGGCAGTGGCTCCAAAATATAGAGGGCATGAAGGGGAGAAAGGATCAAGAAGGGGAATGAGTAAGACCAGTTGGGAATGATGAAGAGGACAGCCAGTTGAGCGAGAGCAGGCCACGTGGTGGGCAGGAGCGCGGCAGGCAGGGCGGGGCAGGGGCAAGTAAGCAATGTACGGCAGAAGGGGCGGAGTATGGCACACGGGACGAGGCGGGACGAGGCGGGACGAGGCGGGACGAGGCGGGACGAGGCGGGACGAGGCGGGGCGGGGCGGGTGGGCGGGGTATGGAGGTAGGGCGAGATGTGGTGCACCAGGCTAGTGGGCGGGGTATGGCAGGCGGGCGGGGCAAGGCTGGTGGGGGCGGGGCCTCATGGGCGGGGCGTAGCAAGCCAGGCCGAGTGGGCCGCCTCACCTGCAGGATCTTGCAGCGGTCGGACAGGCAGTCCATGTCGTCGCAGGGCTGGTACATGCCAAGTGTCACGCAGTTCAGCAGGATCACCAGCATGCTGACACATTCAAACCATGTACACACCGAGTCAAGGACAAAACAGTCGGGAAGACGGAAGCCAAGGGAGGGCTGAATGCTCCCTGGAGTGTAATACCCCGCCCACCACAAATGCAGGCACATACCCCGGTGCCCCCCAGACGCCTCCCCTGAGTGGGTCAATGCCCAAGTTTGCAAAACCCTTGGAGACAAGCCCAGCCTAGCCATCTCTCAACAGACAGGGCTGCCGGTGTGGAACCCACCAGAGGACCCAAATCCTACCAAGCCCCCGCTCTCGAGGACCCCTCCCCTATTTCCTCACCCCAGCCTAAGTGTTCCCTTTGGGGCCAGGAAATGAGAAATCCAGAGAGGCCCAGTTGGCAGGCCATCTCTGGGCTATCCCTGCCTGTCCATCTCTGACCACCTCCTTCTGACCGTCATTGCCTCTCTTCTCTGACCACCCCTCCCCTCCCCTCCCTCCTCCGTGTCTGCCCCAGGGCCGGGGCTAGCGCCTATGCGGCGGACACCCCCGTCCTTCCCTCTTCTTCCACGACCGGGGTTAGAACTCATCACTAGATTCTGGAACATCTGAGCCTAGGCCCTCACCGGCTTCTGCAGCAAGAGGAATGGAACTCAGTCTCCAGAGGCCCGGCCAGGCAGAAAGTCTCGTGCAGCCATCAGCTTTAGGCAGGGACTCTGAGGCACTTTTATGTCTAAAGTTGTCTTGTTGGCATGCTTGTGGTCTTTACCCCAACCAGAACCTCCATTCCAAGGGGAAGAGGGTTTTGCATTCATCCCTCTAACAGCGACAGGCACCTAGTGGGAGCCCCGTAAACGTCTGTTGCATGAATAAGTCCATTCTGATATCCTGTAATTCTTGTGTGTCTCCAAATGAAAACCCTGGCCCCTTGCTCTAAACTGGGATGTAGCCACGCTAGCCAGACCCCACCCACTGGGGGCGAATACCTCTTCTTTCCTGACGGAGAATGGACCTGGTTTCCCTGGCAACAGCCTCCCTCTCATCCCTGGGCCTTCGCTCACCTTGGGATGTTGCCTTCCTTCCTACCTCTCCTTCAGACCTTCCTGGCCCAGCCCTGCTCCTTCCTACCCCCATCCCCCACCCCACCACCACTCTCCTGCCATAGCCTGTAATTAAGCATAGTCCCTGCCAGGGCCCCCTTCTAGCCTGAGACTGCTCTGAACAGCAGCCTCATCATTAATTAACTTTTCTGAAGTTCAAGCGTTCTAATTACCAGTGAACATCCCCCTTCCCCCTTGCTTTTCCCCTTGCCTGCCACACTTTCTCTCCTCCCAGCTGCCTTCTCGACTCCCTCTGCCCTCCCTGCCAGCTTCAAGTTCAAAGGACTCTTAGCAGGTATCTCCCAGGAGCCCAGAACCCCCACTTCCTACTCACCGGGGCCCTGAGTAATGGAGGTCAGCAGGCCCATTGTACAGATGAGGAAAATGAGGCTCAGAGAAACTAAGGGCCTCACCTAGGTCTCACAGCTGGGAAGTACCAGAGCTGAGATTCACCCCAGGCCTGCTAGACTCCAAGCCAGGGCTCTCCTCTGTGATACATGGTCTGTCTCTGCCTGTGACTTCCCCCTCCCTCCCCTGAGGTCTCAGACCATCCCCAGTGTCTCTCGCCTGGGCCCTGTCCCGAACCTCCCAGCCTCCAGCTCTGATCTCTGCCCCTCCAATCTGCCCCACACGGTCACCAGGCGAGTGCTGTGTGTCCAGTACTGAGCACTTTGCAAGCATCATCTCAGTTAATTCTCAGAGTGCTGTTGGAAGTCCCACTGAGAAATGAGGAGCCTGAGACACAAAGGGGAACCTGATTTGCCAGGTCACCCGCTGGAAAAGAATAGAGCTGAGATTCAGAACCAGGACCTGCTTTGCTTGCCCCCGGGCCATTGGGCCACCACCAGATTAATCTGCCTGAAGCCCAGCTCTGATTATGCCTTTTCGTGGTTCCAAAACCTTCCATGGCTCTTGCACTCTCCTTAGCCTGACACCCAAGGCTGCCCACACCCTGAACTTAGCGAGTTCTTCTGGCCTTACCTCCCACCCATTGGCCTTGGCATGCACTGATCTTCTTGCTGTCCCCAAACATACCCTTTGCATGTACTTCCTTCTACTGTCGCTATCAGGCAAACTCCTACTCATCCTTCACAGCCCTGTTCATTTGTCCCTTCTTCTTGAAACTTCCCTTGAAGCACCTTACCCCATTCACAAAGTGGTGGCTCAGCCTCCTCTCTGGAAGTGCTCCCTATCCACGTGGTCTAGCTTGTACCACAGTAATGAACTTGGCAGTAACCATGACTACTGTGTGCCAAGTCCCTAGGGACATGGCCCCGGCTCTCATCACTTCTCACTGGGGGCAGATGGGGAAACAGGCCTGGAGAGCTGGAGTGACCTGCCCAAGGTCACACAGCCAGTAAGCGGCCCAAAGGACCTAACTCAGTGGTGCCCAGAGCCACTGTGTGGTGCTGCCTCTGTTGCCGCCCACTGCACACAGTCTCTCAAGGAGGCAGACGGAGTGGTTTTACCTCTAGCTTGCTCAGCTCAGACATTCAGAAGTGGACAGTCCCAGCCCTGCCCTGAGGCACTCGGGGAAATCCCAGATGGCGGAGCCTGGGCCCTTTCCAAGAGGCTGGGAGGTTCAGAAGTCAGGCCAGAGCTGGCATTAGTGCCCACAGTTCCTGACATGCTCCCCACTGGCTCAGGGATCAAAGGCACCAGCCCTCCTTGCAGTCGAACCAGACCCCGCAGCATGGGGAAGGAAGACTGTCAGAGGGAGTCAAAGTCTCCAGGCTGCGGAAGTCCATGGCCTGGCCCCATGCCTCATGTTCCCACCATCAGTCATAAGCGGTGAGGAACATAACACTGGCACAACTCCGAGGTTCCGGGGCCGTTTGAGGGAGGACAGAGGCCCCAAGAGGGCAGTCAGGATTTCTAGGTAACAGGGCAGGCCAAGACTTGAGTGCTGGCTCCATGAGGGCCAAGAGTCTTCCGTGGCTCCCGCTGCCTCTCACAGCGAGGTCAAAGCCACCACATAGCGCCTGAGACCCTGCAGCAGGGACCCCATCACCTGTCCTGCTTCATTGGCCAGACCCCCACGCCTGCCAGAGTACCTTGTCACAGAACAGTCCCACCAAGGTCTGCAGGAAGGAACTGCTCCAATCCCCCACTGCGCAGATGGGAAGCAGACAGACAGAGAGCCTTCCTTGCAACACAGCAAGCCAGAAGCAAAAGGGACTCTCAGACAACAGAGGGGGTCCCTGAGCCAAGGCTGAATTTCAAACAGACACCAAAACCCCATGTTTCCCCCAAAGGTCCAGGCTCACAGGTGTCACACCTGCTCAGCTCAGCCAGGGGATTCGACCCAAGACGGGCAGCCACGGGCACCTCAGAGGAACAGGGATGAAGGGACAGATCAATGGCCACTCAACGAAGCTTCCTTGGCAGACAAAACCTTCCCAGACCCCCACCCCCTGGCTGGGGGCAAACTCCTACTCATCCTTCGCAGCCCTTCAAAAGAAACGAAGGGTTCTTGGGGGCTGCAGAGGCACCACCACCCCACCTCTGGCCCCGGCAGAAGCCTCAGCTCCCCCTACAGCCAGCCCCCACCCTGTTCCCCCTGCTCTGCTGGCCGCGCCTCCCGTGGTCCTCAGAGCCCAGCAGCGAATTGATGAGCACATATTGAGCGTCTCCTGTGTGCTGGCCTTGGTCAGCAGCAGCAATGAAACATTTCTCAAGTGCGCTGTAATGTCTGTTTGCCAAAGCACCTTCCAAACAGCTCGCACTATCTCATTTAAACCCTCCAACAAGCACGTGCCGCAAAACAGAGAGCCTGTGCAGCCGTGGGCTCCGGCCCAGGGCTCGCCACGCGGTGGGCGGCACGGAAAGCCCTCTTTGTCAGCCTCTCCCATAACAGGGATCAGGGTCTCCCATCCTTTGGCTTGTGGCGGGGGAAAGCCAAGTCACCGGCAGAGGACTGAAATCCCCTGCTCTCCCTGCCTGCTGACTACCTAGTATGATCCTGAGTGAAGAAGAAGAGAGGCTGTCACTTTCAGACCCGTGTCTGCCGCCCAAGAGCCGAATCTTCACTAACAGCCTTCTAAAAAGAATCAATCAGTTCAGGCCAGGCAACACTGAGCTGCCCCCCGAAACTTCAGCAAAGTCCCCTAGAACTGGCAAGTGCTGCCATTATCCCCATCTTAGAGAGGAGGAAGTTGAGAAGGAGCTGTGGCTCTAAGGGCTCCTGCCACAGCCATTGAAGGTCACACAGCTGTCATGTGACAGCGGCGGGATTTGAATCTGCTCCCCCCAACCCCCCGCGCTGACTCCTAATCCTGCGTTCCCAGCCCTGTGCCCTGCCCCCCACCAGACATGGAGCCTGGAACACGAGAGGCCCTCGACTGGCATGTGCTCAGTGGAATATTTGCTTTTTAATTCTTACCCACATCATCTCCTCCCAATTGGACCAGGGGCACGGGTGAGCTGGGAGTCAGGAAGGGCGACACGTATGGCTGGGAGGCAGGGCTACTGGGAGGGCAAGCCTGTAAGGGGAGGGTGCTGGTCTCAAGGTCCCCAGTCAGTGAGAAGTCCAGCTGGACCACAGTCATCACTCCACTCCACGTCTCAGCCGCTGTCTCAAAAACTGGAGGGACAGGGTCACCTGGGAAGCCCACCAGGCCAAAGGCCTCCTCAAACCTGCCACTTCCTGGGGAGAAGAGTGACCAGCTGGAGGGACAGTGCCTGATACCCCAGCAGGCCCCTCGGGGCAGTGTCCTCTCCAGGAGCCAGAGCCGGAGGCCAGCACGGTTACCATGGTGACCACCACCCTCCATCCCGTAGGCCCAGATGACAGTCACAGTTTCTGTAATTCGGAGGGCTCTGGGAGGGGGGGTGGGGGCATGAGCGCTGGGTTTGGCTGAGGCAGCCAAATTTGTTTTTATTTTTGTCAAATCTGAAATCTAATCCATTTCCCAGGGTGCACCTCAGTTGTCTAAATAAATCAAGTGGAAGGAAAGGCTG